AATTGCAGGGAGAGCTTTGAGCCGCAGAGGTGGCAGCTCCTGGGGGTGCTCGGTGTGGGTTGGGGGTGCTGGTGTCATTCCTGCTTGCTCGGGGACCCCCTTGCATCGTGTGTGTGTTACCCCCCCTCCTTTGTGCTCCCCAAGGTGTCCCTGGTGGGGGTACAGGCCCCCCCCTCCTTGCTCTCTGCCTTCCCTGCAGGAATTGCTGCCTGATTCCTGCCTGCCCGCACCCTGGGGTGCCCAGGGCACCTCGGGGTCCCCCTTCCCCTGGGTGTCCCCACCCCAAAAGCTTTGCCCCCCCCCTCCCTCCCCCTGCTTGGAGCAGAGCCTGCTGGTGCACTCGGTCTGGATCTGTCCCTCCCCAGCAGTGCGCTGGGCCCCGGGGGGAGCCCTCTGGCTCCATATTGGGGGGGGGGGGGGGGCAGCAGGCTGCACCCCCCCCCTCCTTGCTGCATCTTCCCTGCCGCTTGTGCATAAAGCAACCCCCTGCACCCCAAAAACCTTCCTTCATTCCTTGGGGGACTGGCCCCCGCCTCCAGGGTGCTCCCCATGGGGAAGCCCTTCCTCCCTTGCACTCCATCCCTCTTCCTCCTCCTCCTCCCCAAACCGGGGCCCCCTCTGACACCCTTTTCTTCGTTGCAGGCTCTCCTCGGAGACCGGGGGCATGGGAAGCAGCTAGGGGCCCCGACGCGGACCCTCGGCCTCACCTCACCATCCATCTGTGTAGTCCCTTAGCAGCCAGCCCCAGATTTTAACTAGTTTGTAAATTTTTCGGTTCCTCCATGCTCTCCGCGGCCACTCATGAGGTTTATTTTTTGTTTTGGTTTTTTTTTTGTTTTGGGTTTTGTTTTTTTTTTTTTTGAATTACAGCATTTTAATTCCTTTCTCTGTTCAGCTGTTAAAATGCTGAGCCCCAGATCTTAGTTTTATAAAGCTTCTCTCTCTCCTCCCTGCCCCACCCCTCACCTCCACCCCCACCCTTTTTTTCGGCTCATGAAGTTTCTGTTTTGTCATGAAATGTAAGAGTGGAAGAGAAACATTTCAGTTTAGTTCTGTAACGTCAGGAAATTTTTCAAAAAAAAAAGTTAATAAAAAGATGGACTGGAGCTTTTCCTTGTGAATAGAAACTGGAGGATATTTTGGTTAATGGATCTGCCTGTCTCCGTCTTTATTTGAACACCCCCACCAGTTCTGCCTAGTGCTCCCAGTATGGCCCAGCTGGGGGATGGTGGGTTTCCTCTGGGGGTGGGATGGGGCCCCCTGGCTGGATAAACCAGTCCTTGGGGAGGGGGCAGATGGGGGGGGTGTGTCTTTGGTACTCTAGATGCATTTTGGGGGTTTCTCTGCTTCTCCCTGCACCCTGCAAACTGGTCTTTAGTGGAAACCAGTATCCCAGCTGGGTATGTTGACTCTCTCTGCCTTGCTTCCTACCACCCCAGTCTGTTTGGGACCTTCCTTGCTTTGGGGGGGTGGCAGCAATTGCCCCTACTTCCCCCTGGGGCTCCAGCCCTGGGTCTCTGCCACCATCTGGTGCTCCCAGTTCCACCAGTAAAGAAGGGGTGGGACTGGAGGGGGCCTCAGCCCCCTATGTGCCCCCCCCTTCCTCCAATTATCCTCTAGCCTGGCCTAGGGGCACAGGCCCTCTCTCTCCACCTCTGGGGTGGGGGCTATTACAGTAGGGCCTACATAAACACAAGAGGGAGACAGACAACTTCTATCCCTGTTCT